AAATCAAATGAAAAAAAAAACACTAGGCATTTTTGAATGGTATACTAAGACCATCATTATCCATGAGATTTGGTGGGTATCATTAGATATAAAATTATTAAAACACACATTCTCTCTTCCTTTTATTCAATTTTATACCTTCTCTTTCATCCTTTTATTTAACTTTTATTAATTTTATATTTAAACACACCCCAACTAAAGTTTAAATTCTTTCCAAAAGTATCAACCCATTGATACAAAGACACTCTCTCTCCAAAAGTATCAACTCATCTCCTCTTTTTACTCAAATTTTATTAATTTTATATTTCAATACACTCCATTATTTCAACCAAAAACACTCTCTTTCTTCCTTTTACTCAAATTTTAATAATTTTATATCTAATGATACCCACCAAATCTCATGGATAATAATGCTCTAATATCCAAACTCATTCCCAATGGTTTCAGTCATATTACGTTTAAAAATTGTAGGGCGCTTTTTCTATCTAGCCTCTAAAACAATACAAGAGCTATAAAAATACTTATAGATACATAATGAATCTAAATGATTTTAGTCGTTTGTGTTATTGTATCGTTTTTTTGTCATAGGTTAAATTTGAATCCAACATAATGCATATTTTTCACAAAAATCTAATTGTAGTCCTTAGTGATTCGACTATGAGAAAATATTATACTTGCCTTAGTAGCCTTATGGTAGAAGAGTAGAAGGAAAAAAGGATGATCGAAAGCTTGTTTATTCAACATGGAATTAAAGTAGGTGACTGAAAATTCAATTATCCAAACATGGTTGACTTTATTCTTGCATTAGAGAGATATAATATTTAATTTCAATTAATTGTACGGTGGATTCTAGTTGGATCATTGACCTCTTTATCACAACTAGTTGAATGCGATCGTTCCGTTGATCACGTAAATTTGGTTACTCAAACATGAATTTCTATTTTACTATTCGATGACCAACATGAAACTCTGTGAGACTGTGACCATTAGTTTGGTATCCAGTAAAATATATTCACTTGTTTCCTTTAATTCAAAACTTATCTGTTTGTCAGTAAATACAATTGCTTATGTTTATAGCTCGTGAAAAAGAGATTAAAAAAAAAAAAAGCGGACGAAAAATAACGGGTGAAGTTTTTTAAAATATCGAGAGTCGAGTGTGTGGTATACATTCGCGGCGATTCTTCTCTCTAAAACCTAAGCCGCGTTTTCATCGTATCTCAAATCCGTTTGCTTCTCCGACGGCCGTTTACAATTCTTTTCCAAATTGCGTTACTCTTGTATTCATTTTCTCCAAGGATTTTGGTTAGTTTTATAAGGTTATGCAATGAATGATCTCAAACCCTTTTTTGAATAATATTCATATTTTATCAAAAAAAAAGAGATAAAATTAAGCAAACCCTTAAAAACAAAAAAAAAGATAAAATTGTAGTATTTAACTATGACCTTCTTCTTCTTGTATATATGTATCATGCATGGGAATGATAATGGTAAGGCCACGTAATTGCTTTAAAACGCGTTTTCACTGCTCTACCATGTTTGTTATTCTGATCAGATCTAATCTTTAACATTGTCATGTCCCCTGTCCCATCTTTTTCTCAATAATCGATCACTCACTTTTTATTCCT